ATATACAGGGTGATTCAGAACTTATCCAAAAAAACCCTTCCCCCACAAAAAATGTGATAAAGTCTACTAATAATTTTTTTACGTTCAAACTCTAATTAGACTGGACTAATAGGAAAATATAACTCTGCGGAACGAAAATCTGTTGAATAAAAAATATAGCAACATTTTTTGTGGTGTTTGTTTGTTTTTGGCAGTCCTAACTACTGTATATACATACCAGAAAATATATTTTTTTCTGTAATGGTCATTAGCTTTATTAGTATTATGAAAATTTTGCTGTAAATGTAAATTTAATTATCCAATTATAAAAGTTATTCCATGCATGAAAAACAAAGAAATTATACGATTTTAGCACCGATTCTGTAATATTAGCCACTTTCACAAAAATTGTCGGCCATCAAAATATTGTTAGTTTTTTTTTGCATATTTTACATTTTGTTTGAAGTAATCATACACGTCTGATTATTTATTTATTTTTAAAATGCAATAATTTTCTTACTGGGGTTATCTAATTGGATAAAAATGTTTGAAACAAAATTTATAGGATTTTGAATGACTAATTAGATGGTGATGGTGGATTTGACAAGTTACAGGGTGAAATACAGGCTGTTACAATTTCGCTTCTCACTACAGGGATCTCGGAAACGGTAAGAGATACGAAGTAAATAATTAAAGCTAACGTGATTAGTTTTCGAAGTATTTGAAAAAACCGAAATTTTGGAAATCCGTTTTTGTTTCATATCAGCCTTGTTTGAGGTGATATTGAAAAATGAAGAACACTTTCTCATGGGAACTTTTCATCCTCTATCGAATGGCATAATAAATTTTTATATGTAACGTTTCGTCTCTTCAGGACCATCATCAGTTGCCTCAGCCCGAACCAGATTCAGGCGTTTTGTCTCGAAAAATTCATCTTCAATGGATTCGTTCCAAATTTATCTAATTTTTTTTTTAGATTTCTACGTTTCTTAAATTATCGTACAGTCAATCAAGTGTCGTTAGACCCTGTGAAATCCACCTATATATTGTAATTGTGCCTATTTTATTGTTTGCAAGTTCGCTCTTCCCAGATCGGTGTGTTCTTCCCGTTGGGCCAGCAGGTGTGACAGAGTTAAACATAAAATACAGTTCCAAACTTAATAAGAAATACAAGACTGCTTAGCTCATCGCGCAGAAATACCTCCGTCTCTTCAACATGCCCCAGGACACCATCCTCACTGGTAGGTCTCGGGACTGTCGCCCGACCTCTAGATGTGGAATTGACGATAATTGGAATCCTAAAGTGATTCATACACCGAACAACGCGTCAGTCGAGAATGAACTGCAGAGTTAATAGTTGCTACTTGCTGTGCGGCCAACGGCGGTGGCAAGAATATTGAGATTCCCAGTCCGCTTTGGCATTCCCACGTGTAGGGTCCCTTGATTTGGGCATTCGGTTACGTGCCAGTGACAGGATGATCATAAAATAGGATTACAAGTGGGCTCGAGGATACCATTTAGAGACTGAAGTGTGTAAATAGTGATAAAATGTGCACCAAAAGTGGGTTTACCTCTCCCAAGGCTACCAAAGGTATTATAGTGGGTTGCTTGAGTATTTTATAATTTTTTTAAAGTTGAATCATGTGTATTGAATATATTTTTAATAATTTGCGTACTTTATTAAACTATACAGTAAAGGCAAAGAGNAAATGTGCACCAAAAGTGGGTTTACCTCTCCCAAGGCTACCAAAGGTATTATAGTGGGTTGCTTGAGTATTTTATAATTTTTTTAAAGTTGAATCATGTGTATTGAATATATTTTTAATTTGCGTACTTTATTAAACTATACAGTAAAGGCAAAGAGAATTTACGCTTTCTTCTAATGAGGCAAAAATTCAATTGGCGTCCATAACAAAAACAAAAGTAGGTGGGTGGTCAAGTCGGTTTCCTCCGAATATCTTGATTGAAAAGTTGTTACCCTGTATACGGCTTCAGAAAAATTATTGGGGTATTTCGTATCTTTTATTTTCAAACGTTAAGCATTCTGTTAAATTTTTGTTTCCTACGGAAAATTTCATTCTTAAAAACTATTAATATTACCACGTTTATATAACAAAGTCTTGTTTTTCTTTTTTTTCTGCCCCTTCATTGTTATTAGTATTGTTTTTTCTATTTGCAAGAAAGGTATTCGGTGTAATTATTATTAAATAACTATAATTTAAGATAAACATCAAATAACAATTAGATATTACGTTTCTTGAGAACGAAATAAGAAAAATAATGTTTAAATAATAATTAAATTTGAGCTAATACCAGTACTGTGATAAAATTTATCATTCACTTGAAAATAATCAAGTGAAAATTTAATTACTTCGACCTATTCAACGAAATTGGATTAATAAATGTCTATTGATCCGGTGTGTACGAGAAATTTTAATTTTAAGAATCACGTTATCACCGTTCGACTTGAGGTAAGAACGCTAATGAGTTTATGAAATTTAAATTTGATTAATAGAACTTTACACGAACAGATAGACTATTGTTCTAGCTGCTCTAATAAACTTTATGTGTTAAAGTAAAAGCATACAAGTGATTAATTAAACTAGTTTCAACCGTTTCTCTTATTCACAGCAGTAGTAATTGGTGTTGAAATTCTGAGATATAGCTGTCGAATACGTTCGTTTCGTTCAACTGAGCCAATGATAAGCCTTATCCTCTTTCCTCCTCCTCAACTATACCACCAGTACATTGATTTTAATGACAATAAAAATGTCTTAACAGAAAATCAATTGCAAACCATTTTTCTGGTTATTATTATTAATGTATCTATTCATACTTTGTTTATTGAGATACGATTTACCACCCAGCATTTGAACATTCTTCCAATTCCTCGTAGTTTATGCAGATAAGAACCAGAGACAGCTCGAGCGAGTTCCGAGATTATTTTCCAGTAAATCCAGTTTCGTATCATTTTCGTTTCGCTTACAGAATGGTTTCGGTGTAGTTTTACTAAAAACGATATAATTTAAGTCGTGTATTGCTCCAAGAGAAATCAACGCACTTCAAAAGCAACGTAAGTTCTTTAAATAGTAGTTTTAATTACACATCAACTCGTACCTTTCGTCGTACAAGGTCATCACCGTCAACATCATCTCTCCTAGGTGTTATTTACTCATAATATTTATATAAAGGTACCTACATATGTTTACCGATATTCGTGGCTTCGAATACCGTCTACACAAACAATTACTTCAATATGGCTGCTTAGGTATGTCTGTTTTTCTTAACTAAATATTAAGGTGAGACCTGAAGCTCAATCCTACATCTTTAGTGTAATAATAAATTACGCTTGGAAGGAATCACTGCGATGTTTGGGCATGTCCTAGTTTAATTTTAAATCTGTCCAAATAAATTACAGCCTACGTTTATTTGTTATTCCAATAACAAGAACGAATAGATAAATAGAAAAAAACGTATGTTTAAAGCAGCCTCCTTAAACAATTATATTTTGTGCTGACAAAGCAGTGACCAGGTCGGATCTGTCGAAATATCCCACTTCTTGGATGGAAGAGGGGGCAAGCTAATTTTTGCTGGAATACCTTCAGTACAACTCACATAATAAATGTGTAGATGTCTAGATCTGGGCGAGGTCCGGAACATTTTCAAAATTGCAAGAATGTTAAAATTTTAATTTAAAATTAAAATACACGGAATTTAACGTTTTTTTTTTTAAAGAAGCGTCTTTCTGAGTACATTAAAATTATAATTTTTGAAAAAAATTAAATTGCAAATTGATAAATGTGATCTATAAAAAAATAAAAAAAAGAGTTAACTTTAAAAATTTACTGTGGCCGTCCTAATCAACCGATTTTTTCTGTGAAAAATTTTTTTCAAAATGTTTTTCTAAAAATTATTTTGCGAAAATTGTCTAACCGATTTTAATGAAATTTGGTGTGTTGTTTTATTATATTCTATAGTTTTTTTTGCCAAAATTAGAATGACCTCGGAGCAATTAAAATATTTTAAAAAAATTATTCAAACTTGATTATTTTGCCTTTTTTTCATCAATTATTGTTATTTTGCAACATCGGAAATAAATTTAAACATTTATAATGTGCAAAATTCAATTCTAAAACTTTTTTCCTCTTCAATATTCTTCCAAAATGCATAGGTTCCAAGATATAAGTAAGAAACTCAGATAAAATAGGTTCTTTTTTAAATTTTTTAAACATTTTTGCAATTTTGAAAATGTTCCGTACCTCTCCCAGATCTAGACATCTACACTTTTATTATGTGAGTTGTACTGAAGGTAATCCAGCAAAAATTTGCTTGCCCCCTCTCATGTTAACCTCAAAACAGATCCGCCCTGGTCTACATTATAATATTTCAGAAACTACTTCGATTTTGGTTTTAAAAATATTAGTATGTGGTGTGAATAAAGCCTTTATAACAATAATTTAAAAGAATATTTTGTCTCAGTATGATTTAAATAAAATAATAGATTTTTCTGTTACATCATACAATGCATATTGAAGTCGACATGTCACGAAAACAAGTAAATATCGGAAAACAAAATTACTCAAAATTTAACGATCTTTCAGATGGACGACATTTCCACGGTCCAGGAAACAAACAATTTTTTAGTATCACCACGCCATTTATAGGTACAGAAAGATTTGAATTAACAGTTCTAACTGCAATTTGAAGCTATTCGTGGCACCTAACAACCCCTGTTTCCGGAACTAAAATAAATTTCTTCATTTTAGAGATATTGGCAGCGGGAATGTTAAATGGCACACCCTGTATACTGGTTGTATGTCATTATACTGCAGTAAATTCTTTCCAATTATACTGAAGTGATTCAGTGCTAAAGAAAGTTTTATTACCGTCTTCTTGAGAAATATGACACCGGGGGATGTGTACCTGCTGTCCGCCATTGTCCGAGAACATTAACAATAGGTGCAATACCGATAAAAGGCATCGGCGACACTTAAAATTTGCAACGAGAAACGGATAGGTCTTAACACGTCATCGGCGTAGGAAATGGGGTAATGCTTCCTCGCATACTAATTTACGTACCGTAAAAATGGCGACTGTTCGTGCTACAGAACCATTAAATAAGAAATTGGTAATAAAAAAGTCTGATACGCCGTTAAAGTAAAATGTTTTAAACATCTACAGAATAATAATAATAATACGCCGCCCACAATGACGTCAATAGATCTGTTATATTTGCTAAGTATAATTGTTATTTCTAAAGGAAATTCGTTTTAAGTTGGTTGATTGGGGTTGGTGCTGTTCAAAGTGAAACTCCTTGGATATAACCGCGACTTAACCTACTTTAATTTTAAATATCGATCCAAGGGAGGTCAAATAAGCGGTCATTAATTTTTCCTGTACAGCTACTGTTAAAAAGGAAGCGACAGTTAAAAGTAGCTGCTCATTACGGAATGAATAATCGTTAAATATGCAGTAGTTGGCGATTAATTCACTATTAGTCAACAAAGAGAATTCTCAAGATGTATTCTGTGACTAAGGAGACTAATTCATTATGCCGCTGAAACTGGTACCAATTATTTGACGACCTTTCTCAGGAAGCCGTTAGTCAAAAGGTCACGCAGTTGGGTCCGGTTCATATGCGTATGAAATTTAAATTTGTATAACAGATTTAAATATATAAATCAAAACAAATTCTAACTCATCACCCTGTACATAGGCATGGACGGTACATTCTATATATCTTGCGAACTTTTTTATGATGATTGCATATGCGTATATTGAGAAAAAGTTTCCTGTAACCAAAATACAGTTTATCATTTATTGTATTCGTGTCTTTCTAAAAAAAAGTACACGGCAATCGCTATGTAACTCTTACAAACATGTGAAAGGAATGTGTGGCAGATTCAATGCAAACCTGGCGCTACCATTTTCGTGTCCCAGACAATCGTACGTAAAAAAAACAGTAGCACGCGGTGTAACTAATAACAATTTAGTTTTTGTTGGTCAAGCCTGCGAAGCTGATTAAATTAATTGGAAGGAATTACAAGCCCGTATGCTCGCCTCATTAATATTTTGACAGATGTCTAGTGCTTACATAATTCTACTAGTTTAAGAAGTAGGCGACATTTACATTTTTAATGTATTCAGTATTAACATAATTATTTTGGCGCGACCTCTCTTATTATACACGGTCTAAGAAGTTTGACTGTCATTACTTCAGCATGAGACAAAGAGTAATCGTAAATGAACAAAAAAGTTGTATATTAAAGGGGCGTAAGAAGTTTTCAAAATACAGCGACTATTAATATTGGGGAGTTCCATCACAACGTGACAACAGCGCTTGACTTGTCCTACGGAAAAAAACTAAATTTCAAATCAAGGCGTTTCGCAATTCCCACGACCACTCAAGCAAGTAATTGCCTGATATACGTCAGATTTTGAATTTGCCCGAATGATTATTCCACATTACGTCGCGTTTAATTCTCAAGACACAAGTCCACAGCTTTTCTGTGTCTATTATTACGAAACCGTGTAATTTTCGCGACAACACTATTAGGTTTTAACCAGTCGCTATTATTGCACTCAAAGGCCACGTCGAAGGTGAAATCTATGGTGACGTAACTTTTATACCGTAACAGTATTCTTAATTTCGTGCCATGGGAGAGAACGACAAAAGAACAGTGCGGCTCGGCATCTCGAGAATCTAGTAGTTGTTCATAGCATTAGTGTTACTCATGAAAAAGGAATGGCGAAGATTTTTAAAGACTGTTAGTGACGTTAGTGATGATGGGTACGTGTAGGAGACAAAGAAAAGACGATCATTCATCGATGTTAGTAAGTTTTGGAACTGGTGCATTAAAAAACAATCAATAGTGTTTTCAACAATAACTCACAAGAGATTAAATTAATAAAACACAAAATAGTGTAATTATGTACCTGTATGAGTTGTACCCTGTATAAAAGAGAATTATTCTCATGTCTCGCGTTGAAATGCCCGTCAGGGTGTTAAAATATAAAAAAATGAGTCAAATTTCTTGGAATGAAAGTAAATGTCCCTGATTTATTGAATTTTAACGTTTCTTAACAGGACACTATTTCAATTTAAATGAATTTGTGACGTCGACTGTTACTAACCGTGGACAAACATCGGCATGACTCAAGCCTAATTCTGGAGTATCAAGTAGTTAAATTACTCAATGAAGTAATGAATGAAACTTCAAGTAGGTAATATGCATTATAAAAACATATTAACTTACTTGATCAAAGATTTCTTTAATGGAATCATCCATCCTCCTGTGTTTATTTTTATTAAAGTAGCATTTGCCTGTTCGATTTGTAACGTTCCTTGATTATTGGACTCGGTGTTAAGTGCTACAAGGCTTCTGTAGGTGGTGTATATTCATATGACCTAATTTTTTTTATACAGTAAGCTACTTAATCTGTGCTGCTGTAATTGGCTAAAAATAAGTAGAATCATTTTACAACACTATTTATTATTTAAATATTTAACAATGTTCTGCAGTGGATATGTACAGGGTGTTAATACAAATTTCAAAAATAAAAATAATTTGCATTTCCATGCTTTGAATATGTTTCTCTCAAATTGTAGGATGAAACAAGGGAGAATTGTTTATTGTTCAGAATTGTGTTACCCAGAAGCAGTAAAAAAGGCCTTATTTTTATTATAACTCAAATAGTGAGAAATAGTTATTGGGGTTATTTAAACAAAACAGTTTTATCCTTTATCTTGCCAGATAAGATCTTTATTTACAAATTGCGAAATAATTATTGGCTTTTCAAGTAGATTACTCAAGATAGCGGGGAGCACGGGCTTAACTATCAGTCGTCTTTTGTTTTCCGATGTATAAAGTTATTAAAGAATAATTAATTACGGTTCTAGATATAAAAATGTGAGTATATGCTATTTTTACGTCGATATGTAAGTATTTCTTGTTAGCAATATGTTTTTTACACCTACATACATCAATTCAAAATAGTTCTGCTCAGTACAATTTAGTGCAGAAAAAATTTTTTACACCTCTTTTTATTACAATTCTATAAACGATCTGCGTGTTGTCAAAAACGTCCCTCGGAAGTATTGAAATTGCTCAAAATTTGTCTCTATGAAAATAAAAATTTATTAAACAACTATTTTTTAGTTAAAAAAGATTGAACAGAAACTATTTTCCATCTGTCACTTTCCCGTTCGATATGACATGACAAATATAAATTATTTGCAATGATAAAAGCCTTTATCTTGTATATCTTTCAAGTTCGACGTTTTTTTAAGGCCGTTGCTAATTTTATATTTATTACCGCCGCTTATCTTTGAAACAAAGGCAACATTAATTTATTATCTTGATACAATCGTGGGATATTCTGGGATGGGCTATACAGGGTGTAAGAATTTCGACTGCCATTACTTCAACATGAGATAAACATGTTTAACCTAACGCTACACATATATCACGTGTGCACGCTGCGGACTTGTCCTACGGAATAAATGTAAACAACTATTATTGTGAAACATTTAGTAAATTTCAAGACAATTGTTTTTGTAGTACGAAGATACTGTTGTGCTTAAATTTTAGGCCGAATTTCAGTAATTATGAATTCAAGTAACATTTTTTTTTTGTTCCAGGATCATCGCCCGAGTTGATGCCGAGTATTATGGGCGCCTTCGACGCCATCATCGGTAGCCAGCTCAGCCAGAAAGACGCCGAAGCTGAAATAAAGACCAGCACGCCCCGGAGGACCAACCAGGTGAGCAACTTCAACCACCTCTCGCCCTGCGTCCAGAAGATCCTCTCCAACGTCCCCGACCAGGAGATCAGCAAGAAGTTCAGCTCCGAGGAGACGCTGGGCCCCAGACGGCTGGGCAACAGGCCGACGTACAGGTCCTTCCGTTCGCCGGAGAAGACCCTGAACAAGAGCGCCGAGAACCTGGACATCATCTCCACGAACGTGCAGAAGATGCTGTCCAACCTGCCGGACACGGAGCTGGTGATCAGCGCCAGTAATTTGAACGTGTCCTGCGTGAAGAACCTCACTCGCAACAGCTCGTACCTGTTCAACTCGGGCCGGGAGTTCTTGAGCAGGACGTCGGACGCGGAGGGCGGCTGTAATAATAACAATGGCGGCGTTAAACAGTTTTTGTACCACTCGGACGGTGTCGGGAAGGAGGACGGTGCGGTGAGTGGTTGCTGTGGGCAGTCGGACGCCTGTGATAGTGAACGATGTGGGAATTGTGACGGGTACAGCCAGCAGCCGCTGGGGAGTTATTTACATTCGTCGCACGGTATCGCGTCTAGGACGCCGGTTGGCAGGAAGAACATGGGGAAGTACCTACAGGTAAGATTAGAATCGTTATACTTGAGTTCTACTCGAAAAAAATTGTTTAGCATGGCATTTTACCTAAGTCTAAAGAAAAAAATGTGAGGATCATTCATAAAAAAAATTCTGCTCCCTTATACTTTTTCTATCTAGAAAAAAAAAATGGTGAAGCATTGGTAAATGGTAAAAATAACACCCTGTATTTGTCAATTTTTTTATTTCTTTCTTTTTTCTAAATAGAATGATATATACTTGTCATGCCGGGTGATTTTTTTAACCTGAAACTCTCAAATATCTCGAGAAATAACAAATTTTCTATCTATCTTCTACTATTAGTCGGGGGGGTAGAGCATTCAGGGAGTTTGTATTTGAAGTCATCCATTTTGTTGTACAGAAAAATCCCAGATATTGCGGAACAACAAACATGCAAAACAGAATGAAAAATTGCCCGTTTTTCGATATATTTTTCCCTGTAACATTGAAAGTAAGCCCTAAATCAAAGAAAGTAATTCTGCGATTCAAAAAAGTTGAATTTTGCATTAACAATGGGCGAAAAATAGTAAAAAATCATACGTATTTTACGTATAGTAAATATTTACAAATATTGATGAAACTTTGTGAACAAATAGTAAAACATAAGTCAATTGTGTCCAACGATCGATCGCAGAGAGAAATATGTCGAAAAACGGGTAATTTTTCGTTCTTTTTATATGTCTGTTGTTAAGGGGGCGATTTAGTATGTATATTTTTACCATGTAACAGAGCTTCAGATGAGGACACAAATCATCGAAGAAACTAACATAATTGAATATTATTATATATCAATGTATTCGCAATGGTTCCCGCTAGTGAGTGAAATAAATTTCAATGCTCATGAGAACAGAAGAATAATTTAAATAAATGCCAAAGTACCTCAATTTTAACCATACTGTTAGTCTGCCAATATATTGGATTTACGACGGAACTAGGTCAGGCACAATAACCAAACTACTTCACTCACTAGAACGGACACTTAGGATCATTTGTATTTAATTTTCAGATTAATATTTATTAACAATTCTATAATTTGTGTCCTCAAGTAAGATGACAACATTTTACACACGACTCCATGTTATATTATATTATATTATATATTTAAACCAGAATTTTAGCGGTTTCTATCTTCTACAAGAATTTCTAAATAAAATTAGTTTGTGTACTCTGTCACAGGTGTCGCTACCCTTGAAAATGAAAGCGAAAACACAGAGTTGGTTTATTGTAAATTGTATTGGCCGAGAAATAGTGAAATTTCTGGCGTTTTTAGGTACTGAAATCTTTAAAAGTAAAACGTGTAGAACAAAAGTAGGGGTAAGCACAAAAATAAAATCCTTGATGTTTTGTTTATTCATGGTTACCGTTTAAATTTACCCAAATAAAATAATAACTAAAAAAAAGCGTTTGCAAAACATGCGTTTGCTATTATCCTAACCCCACATTTTAACAATTATTTTCACGTACTTATAAAAAGTAAACAATTTTATATGTAGGACTAAGCAAGTAAATGTTATAAGAATATTTACATGTGGAATTATATATAAAAAAGATAGTATTTTCGTAGATTTCAGTACCTAAAACCTTAATGGTTTGATCGTTTTTTGCACCTGTTTATTCGTTTTACTGCGGCCGGCGTCTTTGAAAATACTCAGGTGGCATGACATAACATTCCTATTATTTGATAAGCTTTAGATTATTCAGTTATTAAATGTTTGAAATTATTTGTCTTTGCGGAAAACACTATTTACAGAATATGGGACCCATAATGGTCTGATATTATCTTTGATATATAAATATGGGTAATATTTTAAAAGTAGGTACCTAAGTAATAAGATTTTGTAAAGCTTAAGTAGTACGAAAATATAACGCATAAAAAACCAATAATATGTACTAATTTTTCTTTATTAAGAATAAAGATTAAATTTTACGTACAGGGTGTCCCACATAAAATCGTTATTTATATTGTAGCCTTGGTAGTTTCAAAATAAATTTACAGCTTAAAAATTGGTCTGGCTCAGGTAGATTTCTGTTTCAATCTACAAATCAGTAGCTACTTACCGATAAGAAGGAAACCACTAGTCTAGTCGAAAAGTGAGTTTTCTGCGAAAAATAGTTATTGTAATCCTAAAAATATGGTTGTTAGTACATTGGATTCGGAATTAAATTCAGAGAAAGAAGTATTTTTTAATTTATCCGCAATTAAAAATAGCAATTGTTATAAACAAAAAACGAAGAGAAAAAAGGGAGTCTCCGTTTTTTAACTATAACTAAAAAAATATTGAAGATAGCTGAAATTTCAAAAAAGATCCTGAAAGAGGAGAAAATTTCAGCAAAATAAGTCAGGAATTGTAGCTCCATTATTTATAATTTTAATTTGACGTTGAAAATATAGCTCCGCGCGGCGGCGGCGGTTTCCGCGTCGTCGCGTCGCCGCCAAGCAAAGTGTGCAACACAAAATAATTTTTTTATAGTATTCAATATTAATTTAAAAATCTAAATAAATTATAGTGTCATCTAGACACTTGAAGGAACACAGCCCAGTTGGAAAATAATTTTTAACTTGACTTATGTTAAAGTTATTCAATTGTTAATGAACTAATTTTTCGTGGTCCTAATCTTTCATAAAACTTGTTGTAAAACTTTAAATAATGTATCTAAAATTTTTTTTCTTTCTGGGAGGTCTTTTTATATACATAATAAACAAGATTCCGTTGTAAAAGTTTATAAAAGTTTTTTCATTTGTTTATAATGATTTTTTAAAGTTAACAAAAAATGAAAAATCCGGGAAATGTTATAAATTTTTTTTTTACCAAATGTTTGATTTTAGTTGTTTTTCTATTAATATATTGCGTTTATTAGCTTAGCTAAAAACTTTTTAACGTTATTTGTTTATAAATTTGTTATAAACAAATGGACAAGTTTAATATTTTTGAAACATTTTTTTTGCCATTTTATTGTCTTGGTAATCTGTTTTTTAAAAACAAAAATTTTTCTTAAATAAATTTTTTAATTGTTTATAATCGTAATTTCCCTGGGAACACGATGGTGCAATTATTTTTTTGCTACTTGCCGTAGTTTACGAGATATTTGCGAAAAACCTTATTTTTTACGGGTTTTTTGACCTTTTGACCCCTTGCCTGATCACCTAGGTCAAAAATGTTTGCGGATTCGGATTCCTGAGGGTCGAAAACATATTTGCGCCCAGGTTTGATCGACAGAGGAAAAAATGGAGGTTCAGCCTTCATTTCAATGGACTAAATACATACAGTAATATTATATATATATTTTATGCCTATACATATTATTCTCCAAACGCAATTAGTAGCAAGATTCTATATATTTTAGTAATTAAGCAGTGTTTTTAAGTTAAAACGACTCGTCAAAGTAAAAAAATATTTCAGGTTAGGTATATATTTTTTTTACTGAAAATAGCAGTTAATTTACATTATCGGATTGTTAATGTGAAAATATAAACATTAGACTGTTGACTATTCCATGTTATACGTGTTTTAAGGTCACTTTTGAAGAAGAAACTACATGTAATTTTAAAAACCGTATTTCTGTTTTTATAATGAAGGAATAGTAATTATAAGATTGTTTAAGCTTATTAACTAAAAATTATTGCCTACTCAATAAAAAAATATTATTGTCCTCGATAATCTATTACTGATTAATAAAATATTTACTCTCTTTCCTTATAAGATTGTATGTACACAAATTGGAGCCGTTCCTGAAAAATCGGGCGAATGTGGCTGCAGTTTAAATTACTAGACTTGAAGCGTTGGCCGCTAGAACAGCACCTGCCGGGGTCCCGTTTCGTGACTCACGCTGGGCGATATTTTTTGTACAAAATCCCGTCCTTAACCAAAGCCAAAACTTTTGCTGCTCTATCGCGTGTACTATATTATCGTAGGAAGAAGCGTCCCCTTTTTGGGATACCTACCTGGTCAACGCGATTTCCTTCTCTTGTGACTAAACAATAATGCTCCAGTTTTGGAAAATAACGCGCCTCTTTATATTTTAGTTGTATTCTGTCGCCAGAAGCTTAATTACATTAATTTAACTAATTACATTTAAAAATGGGTCACGCATGACATTTTATCTAAAACCACGCCTCTGTGTGACATTCTCGTAAATAATACAATTGTATTGCTGGTTTCCTGTATCAAAATGGCCTTTGTTGCTATTTCAATCGCCAGAAAAACTTAGTACTGAAAATTCACAGAAATATTGTTTATTTTGTTGCCCATCATTTTGATTGTAGATGTAGTTCAGTGGAATTAGATCATAAACCCTGAAAACGTTTAGTTTAAAAAGAAAGTTTAATCTTTTCTTTAAAGTCCTGGTCCGTAGTTAATTCACGATTAACATTATAAAAAAAGTTATCTTGGGAACAAAGAGGTGTAGCTGATTTCTCTCTTTTTTAAAATTACCGTAAAAATGAGCTCAATTTAATGCAAAAAGAACGAATTGCAATAATTTTTTCACATTCACACTCTAATTCGACTGTTAATTAATTTGGTCAGATACATTATTTAGATTCTCCAACAGAAGCGACTCTTTATTGTGTTCATTGAAAGATTTAAGGGTTTTCTAAAAATAGTCGAACCCGTTTCGATACTGTATGTTTGTGTATTGTCTAAGGCCCAAGTGTTTGTGTAAAGTACCATTTGGATCATGTGTTTATATTGTTTTAAATTGAAGAACGCACTAAAAAAACAGTAAGAAAAGGAAGAAACAAACTATATACGTAGACATCCTGTAGATAGAAATAAAACCACACGTATTTTTTCACAAGCGTAATGTGTTTCTTTAATTTAAAATATACTAGATACTGTGGAGTGTTTATTTTAGTTGGATACAATTACTAAGTTAAATAGGTAAATAAAGTAAAATCTAAGTATGCACAGATCAGAATTTACGTATATTTTTTGTTGCGATAATTATAAGATTACATAAAATTTGTTTAGATTTAGATTTTGGTACTACATAGTTAATTAAAGATGGTAGATATTTCTGTGTGTTGCAATTATTAATATAAATGCTCACAGAAGAAGTCTTCGTTGTTTTTAATTAATGCACATCGGTTGTTTTATATAATGATGATGTAAACAAGCAATAATCTCATACGACAACTCTCGTCTTTAGATTCTAGTAGCGTGGTAAAATTTTCTAAAGTTGTTATCCTCTATTTTTACTGCAGCAGTTAAAAAGTATAGTAAAATTGTATTTCCTTAAATTGCTGTTCTTCTTTTTGTTAAATGTTTTTCTTGAATATGAACAAGCTTTAATCCAAATGTAATTTTTCACTTTTAGTCGTAATTGGAAATTGTTCACTCCCACAAGAATAATGAAATGATGAGATTAACACTTATTTTAAAGATTACTCACGCACTGAGGATGATACAATCTTACGATTTGATTTTGAGATGCATTTTTAACCACTGTATTGGCAATTATTTTTCCCAAAAATTCATGAATATATTTTTTAGTGTCACAGTAAACCTTTGAAAATAATTCACCTTACACCTCAATAAATTTTATTTTCTTGTGAAAACAACTGGCTATTGTGAAGTGTCAGTAACTACTCCTACAGGACATCATAATCACGGTTTATGCGAGCAATTCCTCCTTGTAATTTTATTTAAAGACGACTTGCAACCGGATAAGGGCATATCTGCAGCAATTCAAAAACAAGGGCTCGTCTATCGAATTTATCAGTCATTTTTAAAACTCGCGTCATGTTTTTACAGCGTTAAGATAACGGGTTTCCGGATAGAGATTGCAGAGGCCTTTGTTGTTTTGTCAACAGAGGATGTGAAGATTAACATTAGCTCTGTTGTAGACGGTAGAATAGAATAGAACTCTTGCCCAACGGTTTGTTGAACCTGAGCGAATTATCTTAAAAATTATGTATAATTATTTCGCGGCAGGAAACTTAATTGTTCCGTAATGCAAGACGGAAGCCTCGAGTCCTTCCATTATATCTTTAAACGGTGAATTAGCGTAAAATTTTGCAACGGGCGAGGCGCTTTCTTGTGCTGTTACAGACGTCTTAATCTTAAAGTAATATGGTAATAATTGTTGGAAATAAACCTCATCAAATGCACTTGGTGAAACAAAAATGTGTGTTTATGTTTTCTGTGTTTTTAATCAAAGTTAGTTTTCCTGAAATGTCTTCATTCCGCTTCTTTATTTTTTATTTAAAACGTGACAAATTAATTGCAGAAAATACGTTGAAATTATTTTCAATAACCTTTTGAGTATCAAATGGTCACTCTTTAGCATTACCCGAGTTTTAACGTTCCCATTGTCATTTATAGCGTTAGTGGTGTTTATAAATTGTAGTTTTGAAGTTTCATCGGTTTTTCTGTATTTTGGGCCGCTTACATTAAAAAAGGTACTCTTTACGTTTATATGGATGTGGTTTTAGTGTTTCTATATTGTTTGGAATAATCTCTACGGTGATAATGTGACGTATCAAACTGATATACCAGCTAACTATTTTTTTTTTATTAGTTTTGAATCCATCTGGCTATATTTGCTTTTATTATCTTGTTTAATTTACGCTTTCTGGGTACGATTATAAAATAAAAACGTATGTACGTTTATGAAGAATTAAAAACAAATTAATTTATTATCCTCATCTCGAATTCTTCATAGAAAAGGAGCGTTGTTAGATTTTACTGAACTGTAAATAATAGAAATACAAATTTAGCCTTATCATTTCCTGAACAAGAGCAATTTATTGTATCAGTGGCCATTTCAGTCAGATATAATTACAATACAAAACGCCTCAATTTTAATTAGTGGTTTCACGTAATTTTAACTGATTCATTTTCATATTTTAAATTGTTTGTATAAATAGAATTTTGAAAGTTCATCTTCAAGTACAAGCTGTCCCATTTCCATCAGAAAAACAATTACGTAATTGAATTCCAGATAGACTTACTTAAATATCAAGTCCATGACGAAGGTATTAACTGAAAATATTTGTTGGAAATATGATGCAGATACTACAGCTTAATAAAATAATTTCTATCTACAAGACAATGGCTTTACTATTGATAAAACAACTTATTCTATTTTTAAAACTGTTCCAGCTTTACTATTCAACTTCTATAATTTAATGCCTATTCTACATTATAACTGATAATATACCGTTATCTTTTTAAACAGCTGCTGAAATTTTATCTTTGGGTGTTACTGAGAAAAAATTAGATAAACGATGCGAACTACGTCACTATAGATGCACAAAGTTTATATACCGTTTTTTTTCGTTCGTTTTGTTTTATTTGAAATACTTAACATACAGGGTGTTTATTAATATTGTACAAACTTTAAAGGGTGAATCCTTTCGTTTCAAAAACGTTTTTATATACGCGGTTCTTTATCACAAATTGAATTTGATTACATTTACATGCGTGGAAATGATTCGATTCAACGTAAACAACATAAATTCTGTCCCTCTCTCCTTATCTGTTAAAAAGTTATGTGTCACATTCTTGGCGCCTAACAGTCATCGTTACTTTCACCGCGAGTTGTACAAATCAACGATAAAACAGTTTTTTACATTAGAATGCCTCATTTTCCGGCGCCCAACAAATTATCATCGGCGTGAAAGCAATTTGTAACACCATGAATGGATGTCAATGGGTTTAAATGAGCCGATAGGCGTATATCCTAATCTAAAAGCTTGGATTCCATTACCGAAACCCAAATTACCCTCCTAAAGCTTCTCAATATTCCCTTTTAATGCCTCAAAACCACCTTAAAGACTCATTTAAGTCTCATATTTTTTCCTATACATCTTCTGACTTCGCATTGCAAATTATCATTCGGTCTTCGTTACTGTTATCTGCAAACAATGAACTTTTTTCAGGTTCCAAGCGAGAGCAGCGTGGGCAACGGCAGCAGCACGGCTTCTTCGGAGGTGTCGCGACCCGTGTCACTCACGAGCCTGGGTTCCTGTTCGTCGAGCGGGAGCAGCGGTCATCACCAACCTGGTTCCGCGTACCTGGCGTCTGCGGAGAGTTTGGACAGCGATCCCGAACCAACCGGAAGTCAAGGTCAGTATTACCGTCAGTTTAAAGGGTCCGCGTTTGTTGGAGTCATTCTCGAAATTAGGTACTCTTTAGATCTCCAACTGAATCCGGGTGAATCATTGGGGATGACTCTAGAATGATTCTGGATTCGGGAATTGCTAAACTCGTTTAGTTTAGCTGACATCAATTAATATCCCCGTTAAATTTGAGGAAATCGATTGTGTGTGTGTGGTTCATTGTACTTCCTTTGAAAGTTACTTATGAATTCAGTTTCTGGAATTCAAGGAAGTGTCTGTATATTGCAAATAATTGCACAATGCCTACCGTAGACAGTTACAATTCTTGTGTTTCTCCTGTTTCCGATGACGTTCCCGTTATGGCGATTTCATTAATAATATTCTTAGAAAAATATTACTTTTTATTTGCTCAATAATTATAGTCACCTGACCCCATTTCTGGTTTTTTCAACCAAAGCTTGGAATTTGAGTCTAACACTGTCGCGATGACCTCTTTTCTCTATTTGACTTTTTGTAGCATTGTGTCTTTTTCACTGTTTGTAATTTTATGATTATTGAACACGATTGTACTCAAAACATCAGTGAAATTTCGATTTTTGACCTGCGTTGCTTTGTTTTTTTTTTAACGTCAGTCATATTGTTTAAGCTTCGTTGTAGCCGATTTCAAAGGCCACCAACGTATTGGTTTCGTGATATCCTACAACGTTAGGCACCCATCTACAACTTAAACATTGATTGTTTGCGTATAGACACAATCTACATTGTTTGACATTTACATTTAGTCGAGCTTGTACATCTACTCTTCTCCGTAGATACTGTCGTCGCTAATGACTATCTCAAACTGTTGTACAAGTGTGTTGACCCAAAGGTGTCTCCCTAACTGTACTCTGCTTGCTGTAAAATACAAATGGTCGCTTAATATGTATTAAAAAAATTAACATACAGTAATAGTTGTTCAAACATTGTAATGGTGTCACAGGTGAATTATTACGTGGAACATAATTTTGTCTATTATTATTTTCTTGTGGTTCATTATTCCATAGTTTGGAGGACCAAATTTTTTGTTCTTTCAGACCTTTTGTTATACATGTTAAAATTAAGTTGCACACAAGAACCTGAAATTATAGATCAGAGTGGATCTGTCGAAATATCACACTTTTTGGATGTAAGAGGGAGCAAGCTAATTTTTCTTGGATTACCTTCAGTACAACTCACATAATAAAAGTGTAGATGTCTAGATCTGGGCGAGGTCCGGAACATTTTCAAAATTGCAAAAATGTTTAATTTTTTTTTTAAAATACCTATTTTATCTGAGTTTTTTACTTATATCTTGGAACCTCTNGTAAGAATTTCGACTGCCATTACTTCAACATGAGATAAACATGTTTAACCTAACGCTACACATATATCACGTGTGCACGCTGCGGACTTGTCCTACGGAATAAATGTAAACAACTATTATTGTGAAACATTTAGTAAATTTCAAGACAATTGTTTTTGTAGTACGAAGATACTGTTGTGCTTAAATTTTTGGGCCGAATTTCAGTAATTATGAATTCAAGTAACATTTTTTTTTTGTTCCAGGATCATCGCCCGAGTTGATGCCGAGTATTATGGGCGCCTTCGACGCCATCATCGGTAGCCAGCTCAGCCAGAAAGACGCCGAAGCTGAAATAAAGACCAGCACGCCCCGGAGGACCAACCAGGTGAGCAACTTCAACCACCTCTCGCCCTGCGTCCAGAAGATCCTCTCCAACGTCCCCGACCAGGAGATCAGCAAGAAGTTCAGCTCCGAGGAGACGCTGGGCCCCAGACGGCTGGGCAACAGGCCGACGTACAGGTCCTTCCGTTCGCCGGAGAAGACCCTGAACAAGAGCGCCGAGAACCTGGACATCATCTCCACGAACGTGCAGAAGATGCTGTCCAACCTGCCGGACACGGAGCTGGTGATCAGCGCCAGTAATTTGAACGTGTCCTGCGTGAAGAACCTCACTCGCAACAGCTCGTACCTGTTCAACTCGGGCCGGGAGTTCTTGAGCAGGACGTCGGACGCGGAGGGCGGCTGTAATAATAACAATGGCGGCGTTAAACAGTTTTTGTACCACTCGGACGGTGTCGGGAAGGAGGACGGTGCGGTGAGTGGTTGCTGTGGGCAGTCGGACGCCTGTGATAGTGAACGATGTGGGAATTGTGACGGGTACAGCCAGCAGCCGCTGGGGAGTTATTTACATTCGTCGCACGGTATCGCGTCTAGGACGCCGGTTGGCAGGAAGAACATGGGGAAGTACCTACAGGTAAGATTAGAATCGTTATACTTGAGTTCTACTCGAAAAAAATTGTTTAGCATGGCATTTTACCTAAGTCTAAAGAAAAAAATGTGAGGATCATTCATAAAAAAAATTCTGCTCCCTTATACTTTTTCTATCTAGAAAAAAAAAATGGTGAAGCATTGGTAAATGGTAAAAATAACACCCTGTATTTGTCAATTTTTTTATTTCTTTCTTTTTTCTAAATAGAATGATATATACTTGTCATGCCGGGTGATTTTTTTAACCTGAAACTCTCAAATATCTCGAGAAATAACAAATTTTCTATCTATCTTCTACTATTAGTCCAGGGGGTAGAGCATTCAGGGAGTTTGTATTTGAAGTCATCCATTTTGTTGTACAGAAAAATCCCAGATATTGCGGAACAACAAACATGCAAAACAGAATGAAAAATTGCCCGTTTTTCGATATATTTTTCCCTGTAACATTGAAAGTAAGCCCTAAATCAAAGAAAGTAATTCTGCGATTCAAAAAAGTTGAATTTTGCATTAACAATGGGCGAAAAATAGTAAAAAATCATACGTATTTTACGTATAGTAAATATTTACAAATATTGATGAAACTTTGTGAACAAATAGTAAAACATAAGTCAATTGTGTCCAACGATCGATCGCAGAGAGAAATATGTCGAAAAACGGGTAATTTTTCGTTCTTTTTATATGTCTGTTGTTAAGGGGGCGATTTAGTATGTATATTTTTACCATGTAACAGAGCTTCAGATGAGGACACAAATCATCGAAGAAACTAACATAATTGAATATTATTATATATCAATGTATTCGCAATGGTTCCCGCTAGTGAGTGAAATAAATTTCAATGCTCATGAGAACAGAAGAATAATTTAAATAAATGCCAAAGTACCTCAATTTTAACCATACTGTTAGTCTGCCAATATATTGGATTTACGACGGAACTAGGTCAGGCACAATAACCAAACTACTTCACTCACTAGAACGGACACTTAGGATCNAATTAAGTTGCACACAAGAACCTGAAATGATAGATCAGAGTGGATCTGTCGAAATATCCCACTTTTTGGATGTAAGAGGGAGCAAGCTAATTTTTCTTGGATTACCTTCAGTACAACTCACATAATAAAAGTGTAGATGTCTAGATCTGGGCGAGGTCCGGAACATTTTCAAAATTGCAAAAATGTTTTATTTTTTTTTTAAAATACCTATTTTATCTGAGTTTTTTACTTATATCTTGCAACCTCTGCATTTTGGAAGATTTATTATTACAATAATTATTTAAATAATTTTTGTTTAAACATATTAAAAAAAATTATTTGGAAATAATTTTTCTTGTTAGATACAGATAAAATTAAGAAAAAATAGTAGGTACTTTAAAATTATAATTTAAAAAAAAAATAAATTGCAAATTGATAAATGTAATCTAATTGTTTAAAAATTAATAAAAGGGTGTTAACTTTAAAAATTTACTGTGGCCATCCTAATGAACCGATTTCAATTTTTCAAAAACCATTTCAAAGATTGAGCGGTCTTTTCTATGTGAAAAAATTTTCAAGTATCTAGATGCTTTATTTGAGGCTGTGCAACATTTTGAAAATTCGAAAATTTCTTTTCAAAATGTTTTCAAAAATTATTTTGCGAAAACTATCCAACCGATTTAACTGAAATTTGGTGTATTGTTTTAATATACTCCAAAGTTTTTTTTTACCAAAATTAGAATGCCCACGGAGCAATTAAAATATTTTTAAAAATGTATCCAAAAAACTTTATTTTGCCTTCTTTTCATCAATTATTGCTATTTTGCAACAATTTTCTAACTTACAGTATATTGTGCAAATTAAATTCTAAAACTTTTTTCCTCCTCAATATTCTTCTATTCCAAAATGCATAGGTTCCAAAATATAAGTAAAAAACTAGGCTAAAATAGGTATCTCTTTAAATTTTTTCAACATATTTGCAATTTTGAAAATGTTCCGTACCTCGCTCAGATCTAAGGATCTACACTTTTATTATGTGAGTTGTACTGAAGGTAATCCAGAAAAAATTTGCCTGTCCCCTCTCACATCCACCTCAAAACAGATCTGCCCTGGTCTATGATAAGAATGTGCATTTTGTGCACTTTATCCACGCATGAATCGCTTCATATATGGAAAACCGTTGCAAACTCAGGCAGACAATAATTTAATTAGCGTGCATTTCTAGGATGTGCGCCATCTTAACCATAAATAACGCTGGCGTAGACGAAAATGAGAAACATTTATGTCTCTGCATCCTGCATCTGATTATCAGTTTTATGTTCATTCCCTTTTCTCGCACAAATTGGAATCCTTTCACCCAGTTGCATTCGTTATTTCTACGGCGAAGGTTTCTCTGATCGCGATCCGAGAAATGCCGTGTCATTTCGTTGGGCTTTTCTAATGGTTTCGTTTCGAAACAATTAGTGGAATTGCGTAAACACTTCCTCAAAACTAGTCACTGTGCGGTTGCTACATATAATTTTTTAATACCCAACAGGGGTTATGTTAGCAATGAAAGGAAATTATTCAAATTGATATAATTGCACAAAATACTGGATGTATCGTCCCTCGACTGAAACGAAATGAATATTTTGTAAACTTTTTAGTCTCGTTAACAGTTTCGTTGGTTTATTTTCTTTCCATATTTTTTTGAAGCGTACATGTGTTTGCCAGAAATATAAGTATACAGAGATAATTAATCTGGTCCCACAGTATTCCATATGGCACTATTTAAACAGTTTCCGGCGCTTTTTCCGCTTTTTTTGCACCGACTTCATTTAGGCACTGCAATATTCTCTGTTAAGAATACGAACTACCTAATGGAAAGCCAACCGTCGTAATTTGAACGTCATTATTTAAAACACGTTTGAATAATTGTCTAGCGAATCGAATCAAATTTAACCTCAAACATATACCTACACAAGTATCTCTTTATTCTTTTTCTAAGTAGTCTAAGTCTAACTTTCTTTTTTTAAGTAATCGCGATTACGTGCATTATTTCAACTCTTGAATATAATTTTCCGTTATTATTCATACCCGTCTATTTATTAGAAAAAAAAAACACCACTTCCTCCGCTGCGCTGGTTTGTAACTTTATAATAAATATTAATGTGAGGTTAAACCGCAACCGCGATGAAAAATTAATCTGCAACCTTCTGTTAGTTTTCCAGCTATTATTATTGCCTTGGTTGTAAACGTGCATAAATAATTAATCTTATCATTACGCATATGTAAATTTTCTAAAACTTTTTTCTAGTAACAAAATGAAAAAAATTTCTTAATGTCACAAAAAAACTAACACTTTCGATGTTCATAAATACCTCTACATTTTTTTTATATATATCAGGTTCCGCGGATAGCGGCATAGCCGAACAGGAACAACCCTCGGTAAGTCCAGAACTGAGGGTGCTACAGGAGGTTTTGGAAACTGAAACCGCTTACGTCACCGCTCTCAATGAAGTGATTCAGGTGAGTCCCGCTGTAAATATTATGTATCTGGAATTAAATCCTAAATTTAAAAATTGGTGTTAGCTCGAGGACGTGGAAATCGAGAATTATTACGCGAAAGTTAGGCCGACCCTGCGTCGTCCCACTGTTTATGCGGTAACTAATTCAAATTTATTGTGGTTATGCGGCACCCTATACAATTTTTGCCGTGTGTGCATTTTGGTTGCACGGAAAATACGCTTTTAAATATTCATACAAGTTATTTTGCCTTTTAAACTGTAATTCAAATTCTATTCGTTTTATCACTAGTTATGATAACGAAGTTTGTGTTGATTGAATGTATTTATCTTTCAAATGTTCCTGGAAACTTAGGTACATTCATTTATATTCACGCCCGCGCGATATAATCTCGACAAATGTTTATAATAAATTCGGAATTTAACCAAACTTAATGAGATGTCAACACCTTCGATGGCGCCACGTGACACATCTGAAAGTAATATAATTTGTTCGTTTGTATACAAAATAGCGTGTTTTTACTGGAGCCTGTGTATAAATACAGGATTTATTTGAATGTGACATAAATTGAATGGATATATATCAACCATGACAAATGTTCCTTCTTCTTGGTTTTGCAGCCGTAAATTATTCTCAGCGGCTTAATAGGTTGACGTAAATCGTCGATAGTTTCGACTTAGTACGATACACTTCATTTTCTTAATGTCAGCATAAAAAAAGTCGAGTGGGTTTAAGTCTGGAGATCGCGGTGGCCATGCTATGACACCCTATTTTATACCTAAAAACGTACTTACACTGCGAAATAATAAAAAAGGCAAGCGGGTTTTAGTCTGGAGATCGCGGTGGCCATGCTATGACACCCTATTTTATACCTAAAAACATATTTACACTGCGAAATGTTTTATTTATTTGTATTTATGGTTTAAGCGACTTAACCTTCGTTTGTGCTAAACACTTGTCACGGTCTTTGAATGTTGAGCTAGGACGCTTAAGTTTGTATGTGTGTGCCCTTTAGAGTGCCTGTATGGAAGCTTCAGAGCTTGAGTTTATGTTGTTTCCTTGGAGGGCTTGTGTGTGGAAGCTTTATTAGCTTGTATCCCTTCACCTCAGGGTAGACAAAGTATGAGGGGTATGAACTACCTGAGCTATGAGAATGTTGAGCTCGTTTAGTTTTTTGGGAGTTTTGATTTTTTTAATTTATGAGATTTATTGCAATTTTTTTTATTCAGTCAACAATAAATGTGTATAAGAGAACGAAAAATTTGAAGCGTACGTCGTATACTGGCCAGGATCAGACACTGGTTATTAAACTGCACGATACCAGGGTCGACGTCCGAACACTCGTTACGCTGGCTCCGCAGAAAATACTGAAGCGTGGTCCGAATCACAATCGGAAAAAAACTTTGAAAAAAACGTCCCTTATTAGATTGTGACCGTCTCCAAAGAGTTGTGAGTCGGTAAATTATTTTGATTAATAATGACGTGTGACAATTCGATTTTCTAAATTTGAGAATTTGTTTATTTTCCGAAAATTCGAGACTGTTTAAAGGATTTTCTCGCTTTCATGTCCGGCTAATGGCTTTTGGCGTCAATCACAGCTTCGTAAGGGATTTTTGGAAAATGTTCGAAAGTGTGTTGAAAATGTGTTTTTTCGAACTGCACCTTCCGATCTGCATATTGGGTCTCCCTCAGTTTCGTATGGAGCTTTTTAAAGTGTTATTGAATTATTTTGGAAACATGGGTGAATTTCCTATCATCTCGCGCTATTACCGTTGACGTTTGTTAGTCTCACAGGGAAAAAACCCGAATAAACATTGGCTCACAACTAATGTAACCTGACAATGCGACCATCTGTTCCGTCCAAGGTAATCGACAACACTTTTCAACGTATCTAATTCAGTTCACCACCTGCGCTCGATTACAGCCAAACCACCTCTCGACTCCTTCGCATCAACCTGGGAGGACACCTTGCGGGATACGAAGTTCATCGTATCACTATCAAAACAAATAATAAATGTATCCCAAGGTACAGCGGGCGTTATCTCGACGTCCATTTAATCTTTCCACCTCCGTCGATTTCATCGGGACCGTTAGCCGCGTATATATCTCCGAGATATAATAAGTTTCAAGCCTGGTAGGCGTCCCATTCAATAGTAAACAACATTTTAATGGGAAATGGCCAACCGGGTATGCAAATCGAAAGCGTATGCGTATGGACATGAGGTGCACTTTGTAAGGTAGGTAGCACGCCGTGTTCATTAGCATAGATATGGACGTGAAAATCTGTTGCTGGGAATGTGTATGTGTGTGTGTGACATGTGTGTTCGATGCCTCAAGGCCGTCTCGCACAATAATAAAAGTTATCGGACTTGTTTTCGGGCTGTATCACTGAATTAATTTGATATTTACATCGCACGAGATAAATCGACGTGGACTTTTTGGAAATAGATAAATTTATATTTATGGGAACGTTATTGAAAGGCTTCAGACTTCCTAGAAATCGCGTGGGCGCGGTGTTTGGATGGAGGAATATACATTTACATTAAATATTCGGGGATAACTGCACTTGGAAAGGTGTTTTTGAGGGTTAAATTGCATTTCTCATGGGCTGTGTTTAATTTAGAGTAGCTTTTGGAAAATTTTAAACGAACGAACGAATAAAACAAGCTTCCTCGTCCGATGATTTTAGTTCCAGAACAACTCACTCTTGATCGCTTTGATCTTCGTCGACTTCCAAAAAAATCCCTGGAAAATCAAATAGATTATTAAATTAAAATTCAGACAGGCTCACCGCAATAAAAATTTAGTTACTTTTCGATCTCTAGCAGTCCACAGCGACACTTCAACAATAACAACAATAATTGCATCTCGGTACATAATCGATCTTCCTCTTCGCATTTCAAACTGTTTCGTCCTCTAAATGTCTGATATTCCAGACTATTTCCAAGCCGTTTGATAAATAGACAACAAAGCGTAAATACAGAAGTTGTAGATCATACAAAAATTTACAACTTTTGCAGAGGTCACTTTTTAACATAACATCAAAATTTCCGAGAAAAATGTGAAAAACAGGTTTTTTCCTGATTTCTCGTTTTTTATTTCTCATTTCCGGAAAAATAATTTAATTTTGACGAAACTTGGTGAAAGTATACCTTAATTCTAATTTAAACAAATTATTAACAGTTACTGAAAAATTCATTAATGCTAGTCATTTTTTACTTTTTTGCATTTTTGAGCATGTTTTTGAACTGTGATTACAATTTTTTTATTTCACCAAAAAGTATGTCAAAACGAAAAAAATGATTACCGGCAGAACTCTGTACGATGATTTTTTTAAGAAGAATTTTTCTTTGAAAAAAAAAAGGTTTCAGTCCGAAAAAAATGAATATCTCAGAAATTTATTGATTTTTTTATCTAAAAAAATTTGAGATTATTTAAGACAGAGAAAGGTTTACTTTCACCAAGTTTCGTCAAAATTAAATTATTTTTGCGGAAATGAGAAATAAAAAATGAAAAATCAGAAAAAAACCTGTTTTTCGCATTTTTCTCGGAAATTTTGAGGTAATGTTAAAAAATGACCTCTATAAAAGTTGTAGATTTTTGTATTCGATAGTTTTGTTTGACGTCAACTTTCGCCAGAAATCCCAATGATACAATTTTTCATAACTTTTCAACCCCCCAAATCAAGCCTCCGCCGCCCCTGCTCACACACTAATTTTATTTTTAGGTTTATTATAAGCCCTTTTAGCATTTCCACTTATAAAAGTCCAGGTAACAATTTTCTTTTTTTTCCCCTCTAAATAAGTTATTTTGATCGGTCTAGATATAATATCGCATCATTGATGGTTAGAATTTCTGCTAGATATTGCTTAAAACGCGATCGTTAATCCATATAATGTTTATGATGTTATGATGTCAACTTTATACGAATTTTAACATATTTGTTTTTCGCCAGTATTATTGTTAATTATCACACAATTCCGTAACGACACCATCATCTAAGAGCGACAAACACACAGTTTGTTTATGTAACCACGATTTACTGTTAATTTCAAGCCTATAAATTTTCCACAGCATCCTAGCATTAAAAAAAATCATCGCCCATTTCGGAGGCGCCTACACGCAGTTTACATTTTTTATGAACCTTGCCTTGTTTACCAAGATTTATGCCAAAACAATTTTATATTCGCATTAATTTGCGTATACTTGACAATAAAAGATTTCGGAATTAAACCGTTTACCTTTACTGCTTCGGTGCTAGATTATTTTTTTATCAACACTTCTAATTAGAATAACTAAAACGTGTCTTTCTCACTTGTACGCTTATGACAAGCACTGACACGGGATTTCAAGAAGTCAAACCGAAAACTGTGTGAAATGAACGACACATTACAATTACCGATAAGAAGCAGTAAAAATCGTGGTTTTGTTTAATGTTTCTGACAAGGAAATTGATGCTCTCGTACGCCCCTGTCCGGTTGCATTTGCCCGCTTGCGTTTACGTAATCGACTAGTAATTATGCGACTGCAAACACAGGCCATCTCGTTAACGCATTACCTTAATAGAAAACTTGAAATGCTAGCGCTAGATTGATGGCAGGTTAATGTTATGGGTTTTGTAATTTGAGCCGTATAAGAAGTGAAGAGTACGTTTTGAATTCGTGGCACATCCAGTTGCCAACCCCAGCTTTAAACGGAAGAACAACTCATCCTAATTGCGTGGCTGTTAAACCTCGTTATTATACAGGGTGATTCGTTAAGGACGAGCAGTCTAAACTGGAAATACTACATACCAAAATGTGACGATTGACAAGTGTTGCAGGTTTACGAGATACAGGGTGTTCATTTCTCAATAATTTTGGCATTTTTATCAGTACCAACTCGAAAATTGATAGTTTTATGTTTTTCGGTGTAAGAATTTCGAATTTGATGCTGTTCAGGGCGTTAGTTACACCGTGTTACTTTCTTTGTCTAATGAACTATGGCGAAAATAATGAATTTATTTCATATTTTTCTTCCGTGCCGTGTATATTGTGAAATAATGGCATTAAATCTGATACAAATGTTGGACAGTGGACAGGAGTCATTCATCTTCACTTTCCGGATTCCATGTAATTGAGAAAAGAATCATCGAATTTATGTAACCAGAACAAATAAATCAAAAACGCCGACATTCGCGGTCTATTTACCGCCTCCCGGTACCACAAAAAAAAATGTAATTCGTATCGGGCTAAACGTTATTGTTGAAGAACGCGACCGACCTTGCTTGATCGCTGATTAGCGATTTCGACGAATCACGAGTGCGACTCACCGAAATGAATCATCGGTTACTTCCTCGAGAATTCCACTGTTCGATCTTCCGTCCGTTTTGAAATTACAAACGCGCAAAGGCAACAGGTTTTTTCATTAGGTTTCGTCCCGAAAATGTATCGCGTTTTTAATTATCCGCACTTTGACGTTGTCGATGAAAATTCGTTTGTTGGCTGTTTTGTTTTCAAAGCGCTCTTCCTCTTCGTAAAAAAATATTATTATAGACACATGTCAAAATTTCTGTCACGAAATCAAGGACTCCCCGTAAGGGATTAAACAATAAAACAGATGAAGCAAGCGTCGGCGGTGTCTAACAGCACATTCATTTACAGTTCCACAATACGAAATTACGCAACGTTAATTTATTTTCTAGTTCTTTTTATCGGCGCGGTGATTAACTTTAATTGAAATCGTTTTATTCATTCGGGACGTATATGGAATTCCGAGAACACGGCGTTGCTGACGCTACACCATGCACCATGGGAACCGTGGAAATAAATACCTTTGTATGTCTCATCCTTAGAAATGCCTTAGAAACCGGTGCACATAGTCACAACAGGCATGTGTAAGTGTTTTAGTTGATAAAAAATATGCAACGGTAGTTTTTAATTTTTGTTATTTTGTGTAGCGACATCTGTACGAACGTTATTATATTATTATTCCTAATTACTTGTATGAATGAGGGCACTAGAATTTAAGTAACATTTACAAAAAAGTGTGTTTCGCAACTCATTTAGAATGTATATAGCCAACAGGATGTATTTCATTGATTTAGGTACCTTTAAACACTGCTCGGCTAACACCAATTTATAATTTTATAGTCTTTTATTTTGCCACGGTTTTAATTACATTTCCATTAAATAAATATGTCGCATATGCAAATTTTTAATGCATACAACAAGGTTGCTGTCAAGTTGCATGATTTATCGTGGCTCGGGGCTCGTTTGCAAATTGTGCTAAGTGACTGCATTAAACGAGTTCTGTTTTTTTTTTTGAATTTTTTTTTTATTTCTCTTAATTACAATGCCTGTTTTATTACTCATTAGGGATACTTGGAACCTTGGCGAGCGGATCCAGAGTGTCCACTGGCTCAACATTTGCAGCATCTGTTCAGCAATTTAGAAGAAATATACGAGTTTAACAGGTGAGAGATTTTTCGATTAGGCCACATACAACAAAGTACCAGGATTTAAGACTGAATAATATTAAACAGTAAATTTTTTTGTTGACTGAATGAACGGACAGTGATATGTTTTTGTTTAGATCGTTCCTCGAAGACTTGACGAAAGCCAACTGCGTGGCGACAAAGACTGGGAACTGCTTCCTGCAGCACCACACGGGATTCTCCTTGCTGTATAACGAGTATTGCACCAATTACCCCCGCACGATGGAGGTACTCGTACAACTAACCAGGGACGAAAAGATGGCTCCGTTGTTTAGGGAAAGACAGGTCGCCCTCGGACACGCCCTTCCCTTGGGCTCGTACCTGCTTAAACCGGTCCAGCGAATCCTCAAGTACCACCTCCTGCTGCAGGTATATAGTTGTATTCCGTATGGAAACCGACGGTTTTAAAATGTATATTTTTCTCCTACAGAGATTATCCAAACAGTGCGATCCCGACCACAAGCCAACCGTGGACTTGGCTTTAACGACCATGACCGGGATCGCGTCCGACATAAACGATATGAAGCGGAAACACGAGCACGCGGTTCGTGTCCAGGAAATTCAGTCGCAACTCTACGGGTGGAACGGTCCCGATCTAACCGCCCTGGGAGAGTTAATAGCGGAGGGTAACTTCAGGGTCGTCGGGGCGAGAGGGAGGAGGCACGTCTTTCTGTTCGACAAAGTCTTGTTGTTAGCTAAAAGCAAGCAAGACGGCGTGTTGGCGTACAAGAGTCATATCATGGTGAGTAAGAACACAATTTTTTTAGTTTTTGCCAAAGTTGATGTATCTCACGATTTTTCGAACCCCCTAAACCGATACGCCCATGGAATCGCGCGAAAAGTGAATTTATTTCTCGGTCATTTCAGTGTTCCAATTTGATGCTGGTGGAGCAGGTCAGGGGGGAACCCTTATCGTTTCACGTGCTGCCGTTCGACAACCCCCGTCTCCAGTGCACCCTCAAAGCTAGGTCTCCCCAGCACAAACGGGAGTGGACGTTGCAGATCAAGAGGGTGATCTTGGAAAATTACAGCGCCGTCATACCGAACCACGCCCGGCAGCTAGTGTTGCAGCTCGGTCAAGACTTGAACGACACAGGTAATTATTATTACAACAAAAAAAAAAATTACGTCGTCACGACTAAATATTTTAGGAATGTTAGAAAGTGAAATCAGTGTGGGGGTAAATTTACATGCTTTAATTTGTTTCTTTTTCTTTTGTCAGATTGTTGAATTTATTCTTATCGGTACACGTTATACGTCGAGAAATTGCTAACGTAAGCAAGTTAAAATATTATCGCAAACTCTCGTGCAATTATGTTTTCTCCGGTTCTAGACGACACAACCGACAAGTGGTCCCCGCTCCGCCAGTACACCACCCCCCACTACCTGGAGAGGAGGGGCAGGGTGCGGAAGACGCGCGACTTCACCAACAGACGGGCCTCCTCCCAGGACAGGTCGTTCCCCTCGTTGGGCAGCTGGCGACGGAAGTCGGAACCCAACATGATCCCACAGTACAACTCCAAGACGATGCCCAAGAAAATAGCCAAAATCAAGAAAGCCAAAGAATACAGCAGCGCGAGGTTCTACACGGACCTGTCGGACTCGGAGGCGTGCGACGTCGTCGGCGAATCCACCGAGAGCTTGTCTCAGAACGTCAGCGAGGACGTGACCTACGAGCAGGAGGAAGAGGAGCAAGCGAGTCCGGAAGCTATAAAGAATAACCTGGAGAAGATCGTGTCCGAGATCCTGATGCAGAACCAGAGCTTCCAGAAGGCGTTCTGTAAGCAGAACAACAGGAAGAACGTCACGAGCGATCCGACGACTTCGGTGTGGTACGAGGACGGGCTCAAGCTGCCCAGCAAGGCCGATTCGCTGCCGAGGTCGTTTCAGTTGAACGATAAGATCGCTACCAACGGGGAGCTGCAGGCCCTGTCGAAGAACGAGGAATCCGTGCCCGATATGTCATTGAAGGAGAACTCAAACGCTAGTCTTGAAGAGTTACACGAAAAGTAAGTTCATTTTTTTAATTTTTTTTTAATACACGGTGATTTTTTAGTTACAGTTTTCCTTTCACTTCGACAGAGTTGTGAGAGATAACCTAAAAATTATATGTCATTGGTACTCAGTGCCTACTCACTAAAAGTATTACCTTGTGCCTACTGCAGTAGGTCGCTCTGTGTGAAATAACCTAAAAATTGTATGTCATTGCTGCCTACTGGCACATATTCTATAAAGTATCTCAGTAATCATTGACAAGCAACGACATTTAAGATACGATATATGTTTTTATCATACGGTTCTATATTTGATTTTTTTTTCCCCCAGTGATCTCTCATCTCAGATAGATGACAACGAACATCCCGACCACAAGATATACCGCAAGTCCGTGATCAGGTTCAGCATAGTGCAGCGCGTCCGCCAGCTGCTCTCCGAGGAACAGAAGCACCACCAGAAATACCCCGTGCACAAGCAGGGCTCCGAGGCCATGGGCGAGAAAATCGCCAATCCCGACTACGTGGACCCGCAGAAGTTATTCCTGAGTTCGCGACATTGCAGCCGTGTGAACCTGCTGGTCGACATCCCGTGCGACGACGTCGAAATCGAGAACGGCATGGGCGAGCACGAACCCTTAGATCTCACCATCAACGAAAAGGAAGTACTTAACGAGCTGGAGAAACGTCTCAACTGCGACGACCCGGACACCGGCCAGCCGGCCTCCGTCGAAGATTCTAGTCAAAACGACACCGCCCGTTCCGAAGTTAGCTTAAATTCTAGTCAAAATTCCGATAGTTATTACGAGAGTATCTTGGAAGATTCCTTGACGGAGGAGTACGTCCGAGACCCGAGCGGCAAGCTTGTAGCGAAACAGGATAGTTTTAACAATGATAACGGTGTCGTTTACACGCTCAGATACAGGAAGTCCGAGACGCGTACCGAAAGCGTCCTGCACGAGAGAAAGTCGACGGTTAAACGTCCAACGAAGGCGCCCCCGCCGATCCCTACCAAACCCAGCAGGCTGACGTCCAACGGTAATTCCACGAGGGGCGGTTCCAGCGAGTCGGCCGTAAATTCCAGTAACGTTAGTTGTAAGAGAACGTTTGTCAACGATGTAAGTACCGTCGGGGAGAACAGCGGTCAAAGAAGTATTAACGGTTCGACCAGTTGGGTCAAGACCATGGTTGGACGGTTCGAATGATACTTGTAGAATTTGTAATTGGTCGTCTAACTGCGGAACGGCTAAATGTACGTGTGACAAATTTAACTTTTACTTCTTGTTTAGATTTTTACCGGGGGATTAGTTTTTCAAGCCGCATCGGAGATATCGCTTGTCTCAAATCGAGTTAGAGCAAAGTTGCGGAGGTTGACGACAAATAACAATTTTTATTACGCCGTCCGTTGGATCGGAGAAACTATTAATGTTTTTTTTGGGCATCGTATTGGGTTTTTGCACTCAGTTCAACAATTTTTTCAGATTACGATGTTACGTCGTGTGTTATAGTTTTCGTTTTCACTGAAATACCGTATTAATCATTTTTGCAAAGGGTGCTTTGAAAACAAAACGTTCATTTGTTACGCAAAACGGAATTTTGATAGTGGGATTAAATCGGTTACATTTTTATAAAGAGTGCTGTGAAAACGAAACGCTCAATTGTTTTTTTTTCACATTTTGTAATTCAGTGTTTCCGACTGACGATGTGACATACGATATAGTTCACCAATTGTTATTTGTCGAAATACAAAATTTTATCTTTTATAAAGAGTGCTTTGGAAACGAAACGGCTACTATCATCCAAACCATGCAAATTTGAGATATTCTTTCAATTAATTATTCGGTACGTTTGAACTACTTGTTTTTAGTCCTCTACATTCAAGACTGCAATGAAAAGTTTAACCGAATTTTGTTCAGTGTAACAGTCAGCTGTTTTGCTTTCAAAGCACCCTTTGTGAATTAATTAGATAGTGCAGCGATAACAAAAAAAAAATATGTTACATCATCGTAATCAGGAAAATGAGCTGAAATATAAAATGCACGTATTATTTTTCCTTTCTAAATCGAGCGTTTTAAACTCGAGTGTTATCGGTGAACGTTTCCGATTATGACGATGTGACATAGAATATCTATGGATTTTGTCGAAATACCAAATTTTGCACTTTTATAAAGAGTGCTGTGGAAACAAAACAGACGACTATCATTCAAAACGAAATTTTGACAGTTCGCTTGAATTTTCATCGACATCAAAGTTAATGGAACTACGCAATTTTGAGGTATTCTTCAAATTAACTCTTCGGTACGTTTGAACTACTTTTTCTACTAACAGTCTTTTACTTTCAAAGCACTCTTTTTAGAAGTGAATAATTTGGTATATCGTCGAAAAAAATTATATCTAACAATATTTGTTCTGGTTTTTGAAAAAAAAAAACAAAACAAAAAACGTTGGTAGAAATTATCGTAATTAAATTCTGCAATTTTGCTCCATCTCGACCGAGCTTGTATATGTTGAGATAAACCGAGACTTCCGGTGCGGCTCGAAAAAGGGACACCCCATGTATATTATTCACGGGTGGATCAAAACGTTGTCCCACGCGCTGATTAATGATTTCTTCATTTTATAAATGAGTACAATAAATTACGAGACAATAACGTAGGAATAGTTCTTATAGATGCACTTTTTTCAGATTCGGTTGCGGCTCATTTAATACACGGGGCGTTAATGGATAATGACACGGCGAAGCAACTTCGTATAAAGTTTGATATAGCGTATTTTTCATTAAAATAAAAGATGCTAACCGTTTCCGAGTTGCGGCGACGACAATTACGGAATAATATGGAAAACGTATCAACTACGTGGCGGGACCAAAGGGTACGTTACGTTTTCTATTTTAACTACCGACATTAGCGATCGTCTGTATATATCGACCATAAATTTGTGATTACCGCGAAAAATGCAATTTCATTTTCATTTTTAAAAGCGTAGTGGAATGTACAGGACGTAACTGAAATGCTAGACAGTACTTTATTGGCAAATTCTACGACGCAGATTAAAGGAAGAAAGTTTCTATAAATGCGAGTCTTGAAATGCTTCGTTTCAAGGTACGGGGCGTTGAAGATTTAAAAAATGTTTCATTCGTAGTTTTTCGAGAGCTCGACTTGAAAAAAAATCTTACAGAAGCACATTTCGGGTATTACAACACACCGTTTTCTTAATAAATGGCAAATCGTCACCGTGTAAACATAATTATCGGTAAAAGTGTCATGACGTCAAGCTATATTTTTTTTAAATAATAATTGGTTTTCCTCAACTGTTATTTGCAACTTGGAATAAACCACATCCTCGCGTTAAGTTTGAACACCCTGTATATTTATAGAAACTTTTAAAGCTTAACCTAGCGTTTTGGTACACACTGTATAATTTCATTATGCGTTTGTTTTCTTCAGAATATGCGAATATTCTGAATAGAGATATATTTTCAAAGAATCGTGTCGTTTTTTTTTTTTACTTTTTTAAACCAAAACGTAGGAAATACTACAAAACTGTAACATTTCGGATACTATTTGCCATTTTAATTTTGTGATAGACTACACGAAGTTTTTGACGCTCTGCATCGGAATCCGTCTTCGGAATTGCTCCGTCACATCAGTTTTTCGAGATAACCTAAAAACTCTCCGCTATATTTGAGGTTACGTTAGTTCACGAGGTAATTTTTCCTCATAAAACTCATTGCGACAATTGAAAGTGCAACGCTCCTCCAAAATCCACTGAATTGTTCGTAAATCGTTTGTGAAAGTTAATTAGTTTGGTGTTGTCGATATTTGAAAGTTGGATCCGCCATTTTGAATTTTGAAATTCTGTATTCAAATTTGAAATCAGCGTAGATATCACAGTTTCAACGGTTACGCCAAAGTAATCAACTCTAACAAGCGATTTCTCGGAGAGCAAAAGAGACGTTTGAACTACTCAAAATTGATTTTAAACAATACAATAACGTTTTGTGGTTAAAATTTACCTCGTGATGTAGCACAAAGCCAAAAAAAGCAAAATAAATGTTTTTCGCACTTTCTGGTTAGGATATTTTTAAAACTTTAAACGATGTAGCGTTTCCAGTGTCGGATTCGAACCCAGCTCGTCAAAAACCTTTGAGGTAGCGTTTTTTTTCAAAAAATTGCTAGCTATGTTCTTGTTAAATTTCTAAATATGTAACCTTCATCAGCGTCACAATCCATGGCTTTCTGCGATTCTTTCAGAAAATTGCAAGTACGGTAATTATTAAATTTCTGAATAATTAGCCTTCATCAGCGTCACTTAAAACCCCCTTAAGTCGTAGATATGCAGTTTAATTTTATTTGTGTTTAAATTTATGAAGTTTTCGTTTCACTTTAAAAAATGTCCACCGCCTTCTATATTTTTTAATTGTAACGCGTTAACGTGTATAAATATTTTTTCTGCATTTTATTCTGATAAAATTGGAGATTAAAGAGTTTTAAGTGGCGCTAATGCCCGATTAAAAAAATCGTAAATTTATTTTCCGAAAAATCACTGCCAGATAAAAATCGCAGCAGGCCATGTGCTATCAAGTTACCGTTTATCGAAATGCAGTGGTCGCGTAGGGTAAATAAGTGCCAATTTTAAAAATAATTATTCGTTACTTAAGGCCAATTTAGATTAGATTCGGAACTTGATTAACACTTTGGACCTGATCCAAGTAAAAACGGTATTTTTTTAATTTGGAAAGCTCGAGTGATATTCGTTCTCAGTCCGTCGTATATTTACTACGATAGGAACTGAATACTAAGCAAACCGTAGATATCGTACGGACACCGACAATACTTAGAAATTTTACTAACCAAAACGGTGCATTTAAAAGTATCCACCTTCAGACTCTGTGATTCTGAAAGATGTCTCTGGTGCACAGACCAAGCGTAACGGGCGTAATACGACTAGAAAGTCGACATTTAATGTCGCCCGCACGTTAGACGACCAATCGAACGAATTACTTTCCATTGTGCTATATTTCGGCTGTTTGTAATTTAGTCGTAGGAGATTTTGTTATTTTTTTAGTAATGAAATTATTGTGTTCTTTGATTTACGTTAATAGTCTATATACATATATATCTATATCATCGATACCCATAAACTTATTTCGCACAATAAATAATTAAACGGTTATAAATGTACACTCGTATGATAACATATATATATATTTACCTATTTCATGAGGGAACGTGCCAAATAAGAGTATAATTAAACTGATATTTTAAATTATTGGTAAACATAGGTACTAATAGTTTTGTAAAGATGTTTTACGATTCAATATAATTAATTACCAAGGCTGTTCGTCTTATTTAATTGACCACCCCCCAAATTTGTTTTCAAGAAATGGGCATAGGGAACTCTCCGTTTAATGTAATATCTGTCCCTCGTGTCGGCAGCGTTTCGGAGGAGAAGCATATTTGGGTCACTAACCTGAACTATCGGCGGAAGTTGATGAACAGACTAGTACCGACACTGGACGCTGACCGAAGATCCGTGGTAAGCTTGAAAAGTTTTCTTTCTTCGCTCTGTTGATCATATACACTGTATTTATTAGTATATTACGTAATAAGTGTCGTAAAAATTGCATTACACCACGTATTACGTACTATACTTTACCTACGACCACTACTGTAAATACTTAAAAACACACCGTCTGCGATCAATGTAAGATTCCTATTACGCACATTTTTTTACCGTACGTAATAGGAATCTTACATTGGTCGCAGACGGTGTGTTTTTGAGTATTTACAGTAGTTGTCGTAGGTAAATATTTTATTATTTTTAGACGTTCAGCATGTTTTTAGGAATTTTTATTGTACCGACAAAGTTACTTCTATACAAAACTTTGTTGAATGTATCTTTTACGTTTCGCTGCTCTCGTCAAACTTATCCTTTCAGTTTGCGAAAGCGAAACATCAACGAAAGTTGATGAATGACAGTGACGGATGTCAGAAGTAACTTTGTTGCTCGCCCTATTTTTCAATAAAATTGGCGTTTAAGGATGTAATATGTTTTTGTTTATGTTACAGGACAACCTGTCTGAAACGCTCAAGGATGTCCATGAATACAGAAAGTTACTTAATTTAAAATAATTAATGTACATTCAGGTGATATAATAAGAATATAACTGCATGTAACATTTTTTTTAATAAAGAATTATAAAATTTTGTGTTTGTGTCCTATAAATTGAATTTGCCACGAAGTTAATATAATCCATTAATCATGTTAGAGTGCTATCATTTTAAGAAGTACGAAGTGGTTTATTATAGCTTCTGACCGGTAGATGGCGGTCGTGAAAAATTATTAAGTGTGGCTTTAAAATAATTTATTAAGACCACTACTTTAAATGTCTATCAAAGTTTTCCAGTTCCCCTTCGTTCCTCTTGACCTTCTGTTCTTCTATTTCTATTTGCTTCTTCCGCTCGACCACCTCAATTTGGATCACCCCGTTCCAAATTTTCTGTACTTGCAGTTTGTAGGCGGTGCTTCTGAAAAAAAAAGCAAGCAACAAAAATTAATTAATAATTAACTAAAGGCTGTTCTGCATAAATTACACTTGTAAGGTTACGGAGGTTGCGAAATGTTAATATAAAAAAAAAATATGAAATTGATAATTATTGACCACTTTTAGTCCGATTAAATAAGTCTTTAAATCGAAATTTTGTTCTACTTGCCTGAATTTTTGATATAAGTTAGTTTGAGGTATATTATGACAAAAAGTGAGAGTAATTTTTTGTTCAACCCCCGGCCAAGGGTGAAAAAAAATAAAACAAAGGGGTTTTTCAAGATAACTCGAAAGGGACAAGGGATAAAAAAAAAAGTTTCTTATAAAAGTTATAAAGCATACAATTCTACATAAAAATGATATATGGACTTTTTCTGGTACTATTAAAATTAACAGTTAGGGAGGCTAGAAGTTAAGGGAAGATTTCAGAAATTTAAAAAATCAAACGAGCAGAAAAACGAATGAATTTTGTATTTTTTTTTTCAATCTAAAAAATGTAAAGACACGTATTTTTTTATCGGCGGAAAAATATATTTACGGGGTGAAATACACCCTCAAAGTTCGCCCCCCAAAACAGTTTTTTCAAAATTTCTGGGGTTCTAATCAATATTTTGAAATGAAACAAAATGGAAATTACTTATGATAAAAAACAAATATTTCGCAAGTGATATATTTCTGTGTTTGGGGGTTGCTACCCTTATTTTTTATTTCAGAGAAACAATATTTTTTATTTATGAAAAAATCATATTTACTCAAAAAGAATTAAAAATATGATTTATGTAAACAAATTGACAAAATTAAATTGACCTATTTCGAGGTTTTCGTTAAAATCTCTGTTTAGGGGGGTGAACAACAAATTTGAAATTATTATAACTTTCTTATTAAAAATTAAAAAATATATCTATTTCTATGAAAAGAAAGGTTACATTTTTTAGAATAGATCGAAAAAAAAAATTACAAAATTCATTAATTTTTCTGCATATGAATTTTTTAAATTTCTGAAATCTTCCCTTAACTTCTAGCCTCCCTAACTCTGTTAATTTTAACGATATAAGAAAAAGTCAATGGACCATTTTTATGTAGAATTGTATGCTTTACAACTTTTATAAGAAACTTTTACCCGTTTTGAGTTATCTTGAAAAACCCCTTTGTTTTATCTTTTTTTCACCCTTGGCCGGGGGTTGAACAAATAATTACTGTCACTTACTGTTATAACATTCCTCAAACTAACTCATATCAAAAATTCAGGCCAGTTGACCAAAATTTTGATTAACGAACGATAAACGAAAGCAAAAAAATTATAAAGTTATTAAAAAGACATTATAGCTAAAATTAGTGATAGTAAATTTACAGCAATCCTGATTTATTGACCAAAGAAAATTTTCTCTAGCCTGAACATACCAGAATTGTCCTTGATATTCGTATCGGTCGCATATTTAATGTCCTTCAAGGATTTCTAGCATTCCGCTTCCCGAATAAAATGAAAGTAACGATTCGATTTATCGAACAAGGAAATCTCCCAGGCTACTCACCCTGATCTTGTCGTCCCTGTTGGCCTCTGCCACCCTGACATCTGCGTCCTGCTTCACCATACCCGTCTCAGCCTTGCTGAGTGGCGTAAGGTACTGCACCTTGTCCACAGACTTCCTTGATGGCGAAAGGATTTCGATGCTCATGTAGCCCACATCAGGGATTGCCACCACCCGCACGGGGGCAGCAAACTGGTCCCCGTCATGGTACACCTCTTCTACTGTAAGAATTCCTGTGAAAAGAAGATGGGTGGAATTATTTAGGGATTTTGTGACACACTGAGATAGAAAAGCAAAACAATACAAAATATTCGCATTGGAATCTTGTAATTATTAAAAAACAGAATATTTTTTAAGGGAAAATTTGTACGGAATTCTAATTTTTTAATCATAAAATAGGCGATTTTAGATTTCTTGGATTAAAGCTGTTTTATTTTTAATCAGATACCACTGCATTTATGTTTTAGATCAGATAAAGTAATCAAAATTGATGTATTTCTAACAGCACCAAAATTTTATTAGAAAATACATAAATTATATTACTGTTCCACAAATAAAGGAAGATTTATTAGTAATCGTGTTGTTCATTTTTAATGCATTTATCCATAATCTATAATGTATAATAAAGATTAAGGGATTACTATGCAGCCAAGTATACACATATGTATTGTATGTTGCCTACCTAACAATAACTTTGAAACTGGAAGGAAATATTTAAAAAATCTCGAAAACTGGTGGAGCTAGAGAGGAACTGACAGCAGTTTTAGATTGGCCAAGGCCGTTATTATATACCTTATTTTTTTCAGAATTTTCAGTTCTAAAAATTTTTGAGAAAATAAATTTCTCTGGGTCGCATAATTTTCGAGATATTCAATTTTTTACTTCAGGAAAGCTACTTACAAGAAAACGTATACATCATTGTATTCTCAATTTTGAGAATATATTGTTATATGGAACAGAATGAAAAGTTGCTTACTTAACGTGATCACATTGGCTATATCGAGGAAGAACCTGCGTAGGTGAGATGTATTGTTCCCATCTTATTTTCGTGAACTGCTAAGCTGCACATTAGAAAATACAAAAATTATATTACTTTTCTATTAATAAAGGAAGATTTATTTACAATCGCGTTGTTCAATTTTAATGCATTTACCCATAATCTATCATACATATAGTTTTAGGAATTACTATGCAGCCAAGTATACACACTTATGTATTGTATGTTGCCTACCTAACAAAAACTTTGAAACAGGAAAATTTTAAAAAAATCGCACAAACTGGTGGTTAGGAGAGGAACTGACAGCAGTTTCGGATTTGCCAGGGCCGATATTATCTACCTGATTTTTTTCAGAGTTTTCAGTTTTAAAAATCGATTTTTCGGATAAAAAATCTTAGGGGCTCGGAAAAATTTGAAAGAATTCCTCTAGACCAGGGGTCGGCAAGTAATTTTAGGTGGGGCCGGATACTTTTGAAAATTTTTAACGAGTCCAGAAAAAAAATTATATTTTTTACAATTTTTTTATTTTAATTTGGACTCAAATTTAATCTGCTTACTAACCATTAAGAACTCAAAACACTGACACAATTGTAAAATACTAGAAAAAATCATAAGATTGGTAGTCAAAATTAAAAACACATTTTTTGAATAATTTATTTATACTTTCAAAAAATTTTTGGCGGTCCAGTATTTTACCTTCCGCGGTCCGGACCTGGACCGCGGTCCGCCAGTTGCCGACCCCTGCTCTAGACAATAACGGTACTGGCAAATCCAAAACTAAAATGAATTTCTCTCTGGCTCGCATAATATTCGAGATATTCAATTTTTTTCTACAGGAAAGCAACTTAAAAAAACGGATACATCAGAGTATTCTCAATTTTGAGAATATATTGTTGTAGGGAACAGAATGAAAAGTTGCTTACTTAACGTGATCACACTGGCTATATCGAGGAAGAACCTGCGTAAGTGAGATGTATTGTTCCAATCTTATTTGTGTGAACTGCTAAGCTACACATTAGAAAATACACAAATTATATTACTGTTCTATAAATAAAGGAAGATTTATTTATAATCGTGTTGTTCAGTTTTAATGCATTTACCCATAATCTATCATGCACATAGTTTCAGAAATTACTATGCAGCCAAGTATACACACTTATGTATTGTATGTTGCCTACCTAACAAAAACTTCGAAACTGGAAGTGGTTAGGACTGTTATTGTCTACCGGAATTTTTTCATATTTTGCTGAACCCTAAAAATTTTTGTCCAAGAAAATTGTCAAGTGCTCATGTAAAGGCGGTTTTGTCAAATTTTTCTTGTAATTTAATAATCTAATGTAATGTATATATTGTAAGTTCAGTACTATGAAAAATTTAATATACAGTCAATTATGTAAATTTTTTAACGTAAAGCTGAAGTTGAAAAATAATAATAAAATTTAGAAATATTTTAATTACTATTTCTTTAGAACGTGTGTATTTTTTTAACAACACATAAAAACCTTATACAAGCAACGCCAAAATTAGTTAAAATGTCAAAAAAACAATTTTTTTGTTCATACTCTGATAGTTTTCAAAATTATTGAGAAATTTCAAAATAAAATTCAAACATTGAACGCCCTGTATCTTAGAAACTAGCAACATTTGCATTACGTATATTTGACTCAATCGACTTATTTTGCCCCCCAGTATCTCTAGCTTCGAGATTTCCCAACCTTACGCAGATACCCTGTATATTCTTTTTTGTTACAAAGCATTTAAAAATGCCTTAGCTCACTAAAAAAAGTTCTAATCCGGAGCCAAAATATAAAAAAGTGTGTTTGATGGTTCTCCCGAATTAATATTACCTGTCTCTAGTGAAAAGAGCTTTATTAATTTTTTATTAAATAATGTAAAGTCTAAGCCAGACTCACAGCATATCCGCATAAGTAAAGTGTAACCTCGGTCTACTCTGGTATTAAAATTGTATGGGAGATTGAGCCGTCTTGAATCATATATAAAAGTCATGAATAAAATATGATGCGCAGGATATTCAAACTCGAAACTGACAAATCAGTTGAAAATATCAGTTTTAGCAATTATGTATTATGATATACAATTTGATCCAACTTCGGGATCAAGACTACCAAGGCGCCATTTGGCCTTACTGATAGCAAGACACATACTAAGAAGACAAGTAATATTATAGTCCAATTAAACAAGCCTTTAAATCGAAATTTGGTCAACTTGGCTGAATTTTTGATATAAGTTAGTTTAAGGTATATTATAACAATAAGTGAGAGTAATTTTTTGTTCAATCCCCGGCCAAGGGTGAAAAAAGATAAAACAAAGGGGTTTTTTAAGATAACTCAAAAAGGGTAAGTGCCAGAAAAAAATGTTGTTAATGAAAGTTGTAAAGCATACAATTGTACACAAAAATTTTTTCTCGTACTATTAAAATTAACAGAGTTAGGGAGGCTAGAAGTTAAGGGAAGATTTCAGAAATTTAAAAAAATCATAACAAACAGAAAAATGAATGAATTTTGTAATTTTTTTTTTCAATCTGCTCTAAAAAAATTTAACTTTTCTTTCCAGAGAAATAGATACATTTTTTTATTTTTAATAAGAAAGTTATAACAAAATCAAATTTTTAATCGTTAATTTTAATGATTTAACAAAACTAAAACAATGTTTTTGCTATACTATTCGATTGATTATTTAAAATAATGAAACGTTGCCTTCGAATTTTCTTTTTACGTTGGTTTCTTAGACAGCTACAAATTTATTTACCTTTTTATCTCCTGAATTTTATTTAGCTTCTACGACACTGCAAAGACAAACACAAAAAAATCACGTTCGCTTTGTCGCACCATGGTACCGAAGTCGTGGACATAATATGCCTATCCAGGGTTGCCAGATTTTCTTTTAAGCTAGTAGCCAAATCAAAATTGAAAATAGCCCAAAATAGCCTGACATCTAGTAACAAAACCCGTTATTTATAATTTTTATACATTCAAGGTTCTAGTTTGTTCTGAGTCTGGGGACAATCCTTTTCTAATCGTAAGTGGACAACCCTGAGAAATAGAGTAACTGCTAGTTGTTCTCAAGTAAGGGTAAGAATACAACCACAGAACACATAATACATACAAGTACAACTATGGTCGTAACAATTTAGTAGCTGCAACATGGGAAAAATTTGAGCTCACTTTGAACTTGATATATGTAATTTAGCTACTACTCAACAGATGGTAGCAATAAGCTTGAATATAGGCATTTTACTAAACGCTTCCAAATCCAAACAGTTTACAGAATTCATAGCTTAAATATACGGTTAAAATAATAAAATAATAAAATA